AAAAAAAAAAAAAAAAAAAAAAAAAAAAAAAGGCAGCTTTTCTATCCAGTGTGAAGAGCAGAAAGTCTACTTCTAGGTTGTCACTTACACTATTATTCTCCAATAGGCACCCAGAGGAGCAGCACACACAGAAGGAGCCCGCTCCCCTCCCCCTCCGCAGAAATACACACCGTAACAGCCCCCAAACTTTCTGCGGAAACCTCAGCCTCGGAGATCGCTACTGGAGATTAAAAAAAAGAAAAAAGAAAGAAAGAAAAGAGAAAAAAAAAAAAAAAAGTGTCGAGAAAATCGCAGGAAAAAGACACTAAAACGCCACTTTTAATCTCGCCTTTGCGGTCCCGGGAGGAAAGAAAAAAAAAAAATGCAGAGAGGAGGACCTGTCTCCTCTCATTTACCGGGGGCTGCTGTGGGTGCGGGGGGAGCGCAGAGAGAGGAGGGAGAGAAAGCGCGGAGGGAGGAAGGAAGCACCCAGCAGCACCACTACAAAAAGTGACGAGGTTGCACTCCCTGCGAGTCCAGAGCCGGGAGAAATGAGAATGGGAAATAATAATAATAATAAAAAAATATTTTTTAAAAAAATCACGAAAAGATCAGTGCTTTTAAAAAAATAAATAAATAAATCGGGCTCCCTGTCTGCAAAGCAAAAGAAAAAATAATTATAATGAAATAAAAATAAAAATCTGGGAACTCCGAGAAGAGTTACTAGCGAAATGGGGGGTGGGAGGGAGAAAATATCAAATAGAAAGATTGCAAAAAGCCAAGAACAACAAAACCCAAACCAGCCAAAAAAAAAAAAGAAAAAGAAAAAACAACAACAACAACAAAAAAAAACAACTGCACACACACACACAAAAATACTCAACCACAATAATAATAGAAAAAGAATAATAATGGCTGGCTTTGTTTTTTTTTGTTTTTTTTTGTCTCCCTCCCTTTCTGCTTTTTAGTGCTCCCTTCCCCTGGCTGCCTGGGCACGGTGGTGATTTAGGCCGGTTCGGTGTTGTTGCTGGATGTTACACGGATATCTGTGTGTGCGTGTGTGTGTGTCCCCGGCCGGAGCTGCTCGCTCCGCTCCCCCCCCTCTCCCTCTCTGTTTCTGTCCCCATTAAATTATTAGTTGACTCATCACTACTCCTCCTCCTGCTGCTGCTGCCGCCGCCGTCCCCTGCTCACAGCCTCTCCTCCTCTCCGCTACCGCTCGCTGCCGCCGCTGCCGCTGCTTCTTCTTCCTCCTCCTCATTTTAATACAAAATAACACCGAGGCCACCACCGGCTTCTTTTTTTTTTTTTTTTTTTGTTTTTTTTCCTTTCTGTTTTTTTTTTTTCCTTTTTCCACAGCCCCCAAAGCGGGAGGAGGAGGAGAAGGACGACGACGACGCAGCCTCCCTGCTGCTGCCCGGAGCCCTTCCCTGGCGGCCCCGGATCATCCGACGCGTCCTGGGAGGGAGAGAGAAAAGTGGCAGAGGAGCAGGAGGAGGAGGAGGCGGCGGCGGTGAAGCCGGGGGGGAAGGGAGCCGGGAAGCAGGGGGGGTAGGGGGCAGAGCGGAGGGGCCGCAGCGGGGAGCGGAGCGGGCCGGGCTGGGCCGGACCGGGGGGGGGGGGAAGCCGGTAGGTGAGCTGCGGGGGGGGCCGAGGGAAGAGGGCGTGCGGCTTCCGGGCGCGCACGAATTTGCAGGCAGCTGGGTGCGGGTGAGGCGGCCCTTACTGCGCCGCGCCGCCACAATGCCCAGCGCGCAGCGCCGCGCAACGCCCGCAGGCGGCAGATGGGGGCCTGCGGCGGCGGGAGGTGGGGGGAGAAGAACGTCGGGGAAGGGGGGGAGAGGAGGAAGAGGTGGAGGGGCGGGGGTGAAGGCTGAACAATATCCTGCCGGCGTGCTCGGCGCGGCCCCCGCCCCGCCTCGTGGAACTGTGCGGTGGGCAGGTGCACGGCGGCAGTGCGGGGCTGCGGGCGGGGGAGCAAGAGGGGCAGGAAGTTTGCTCTTTCCCCTCCTAGTTTTATACCGACAGAGCTGAAGGAACAGCAGTGGGCGCGCTGCTAACGCACAGCGGAACCCCCATCCCCCCGCCGCCCCCTTTCCCCTCCCCAGACGTCCGGAGGGGTCACCCCGCAGCGCCCCGCCGGGCCCCGAGGCTCCGCCGCCGCAGCGCGGACGGGAGGAGACGGGCACCGCCGAAAGCACGGAGAGGGGCGAAGCGCGGAAGATGGTAACGTGGGGACAAAATCAATAGCTGCCAGCCAGTCGTAGGGCTTCCCACAATGCACTCGGGAAAAAGTAACCCAACTAGACAAACTTGAACGCAACAAGTTTGTACAAGCCGCGAGATAAGGGGGAAATTAAACTTCTTTATTGATAAACTGCGCTCTGTTTGCCTAGGCTGTGTCTGGAAAGGAGAGTTGCATCATCAAGCAAAGAAGGGATGAACTGTGCTACACAAGCAGACACACAGCCAGAATAATTAGGGTAGCAACTTAAGAGAATTTGTGAACTGCACATACAAAATTGAAGGAGCAAAGGTGGAGGGGAGTGGGGAGGGTGATGAACAGAGCATGGCCTCTGCACAAAGAACAGACAAATCAATACATATAGGAAGAGCTAAATTATCACTACGCACGTTACTATAAAACAAGGGGAATGTATCAGGGCTAGGTAAAGAAAGAAGCTGACGTTTACTGAAATAAACACAGACAGCATGGAGAGAAAAGGAAATTGGTAATAGGGTGAAATACATGAAATATTTATCATATCTAGCAAGGCACAAAATAGATTATAATCTCAGAAGCAGAGAAATGAAATGCTCAAAAATGAGTACAATGTTACATAATGCTGTTAGTCAAAGCAGAGAAGTGGAGGTGGAATGCATAGGAAACATGAAAAGTTGTACAGATGTTGCATGTCCTGAAAAAGGTTACTAAGACTGCTACCGAGAGTGCTGAAAGGGGAAAAAAAAAAAACAAAAACAAAACAAAAAAACAAAAAAACAACCAAGAAACAGGTTTCACAAAGAAAAACAAGGGAAAATGTCAATGACACCTTCCATAATACGTGATCAAGGGATAAATGCCTTGCGGCTGTTTATTTAGAAACCTATCTTTTTCCAAGACGGTAGATTGAATGTTAAAAAAATAAATAATAATAATAATAATGAAAAAAGAAACAGAGAATAATTATTTCCCAAAATATCTGAGCCTTTGAAGGAAAGATAGTGTTAACTTGAAGAATTAAAACTTCACAAGCACAATGGAAAGTATCAGCATTGTATCAGTTTTGATCTGTTCCAGGAAAGCCTGGTACAGTCATCTTCAGCAGCAGCAGCACCAACCACGGAGGAAGAAAAACGTGAAAGCAGAGGGGGTTTGGGCTGGGCGACTGCTGCCTGCGGTGCGATGGACAGAAGAGGCAGTGAGGGTAATTGGAGTGATGCAGAGCTGGTTAGAATAGAGCAGATATTTAAAAATAATGATTTGGAACAAGATTAGGGACTCGAGCACCACCCTACAAAAGTGATTACCGGATACGACAATAACAACAACCAAGAAAACAAAAAGATTAGAATCTGCTCTAAAGTAACTTCTGCTTTGGTGTCAGAGACCATTCCCTTCACGGTCAAAAAGCCCTTAAAATGTTCAGAGTTTAGCAAAGTGATTAATCTAAAAAGCAGAGACGGTGAATTAAAGGAGCAGGGAGATAACAATCTGATAATACAGGAGCACAGAAGGCCTAATAATGATATTTTTATGCACACTAACCAAACACTGACAAACAAATATTCTGTTAATTATATAATCATGCATATGCTTCCTATGCTTGAGATAAATGATTACAGAAAATCACTCTCTTCTTGAAACTGCATATATGTGCTAAGCCCTGTAAAATCCCTGCAACATGGATTAATTTAATTTCTGCATATCACCTATGTCTGGGAAAGTTATTTGCCGCAGACTTGGCAGGCAGAGCGTGGAATGCAGGCTTTGACCAGCAGGCATGGGTAACTGCGGGCTGCTGCGTCCTGACGTACAGGCAGCAATCAGATCTCTCTTATCAATACCCAACTACTTGGAATAAACTCAAGATAAAGATATCTGATTTTCATTTGACCTACTCTAATTTACACTTCACTGTGTCAACTTTGATATTAAAATGTTCCATTAGAACAAAGATATTTATAATAAAAACATATATAAAGAAGAGAAGATGAATAGATATTGTCATGGATACGTATGCAGGCAATCATTTAAACATGCAGCAGGAGTAACATCATATTTTTTCATAGCTTCCAGTCAACAAACGGTGGACAAATATATGCTTAATAAAGCTTATCAACCCTTACTAAAGTTGCTGCACTGTATGTCTGATACGTAGATGTATCTCACACTAGGTTATGCTGAAATAAGACAAATAGTTAGAAGTTGGATTGCATTTCTTCAACCCCACACTGTTGAGCAGCAGTCTCAGTGGCTGCAAAACAAAACAAGTTCTCTGCTGTGGCATGGTGCCTCGGTGCCTTCTAAGGTCTCTATTCCAATCTTTTCTTGTTTAAAATAAATAAGGAAATATGGGTCCATGTCTTGAGGCTTGGCTCTTGGGCAAGGTGAACAGAAAGGACCTGGCAGCAGAGCAAAACCAGTATGGCTGTGTATTCTCTTTTATCAGATTTCTTTGGGGAGATCAGGCTGATTGGGTTTTGCATGTACGTATTTCTGACAACTCTGCGGCCATTTGGGAATTCATCAGCTCCAGCCCATGCTGGAGGTGATGCAGAGGATTGCTGTAGCAGTAGGACCATCAAGAAATTCACTTTGCTGATGATTTGAACAGTATTTTTCCCACTGTGAAGTGACATGTGTGAGTAG